TGGGATGCTTGTTAAAAGAAAAATGCAATAGCCTTGTCACATTAATTAAACTTTTATATGGGAAACTAATTAGTTATTCTCTATAAAATAATGTGAGCATACCGGCATAGTTGCAAAGAAATAATTAGACTGAATGAAATAGTATTTTAGGATGACTGTAGTTGACTGAGGATGAATTGTAATAGTTTCCCCCCCTATTGTTTGATGTCTTTTCCAAACAGCAAAGTGTATAATCCCTGTGGAATGAAAGGTTCCAAGGCACAGTAGCATTTCTGATAATACCTTTCTTTAGACCAACAACCACATATTTGAATTATCCCCAAATTTGGCAGTGATAAGAAAGAAACAACCATCTGAATCTACCTGGAATCATGAAAAATTAAAATACAAGGAGAGAAGCAATAGAATAGATGCTCCAATGTATCCCTTCGTTGTATTTATTTATTTATTTTTAAATAAAAGTATTTATATATAACAGTCTCATAAACTATCAAGATGGTATACAGCATAAAGCACCTTTAAGGACAAGATGAAGAGCCAGTGTGGTGTAGTGGTTAAGAGCGGTAGTCTCGTAATCTGGTGAACCGGGTTCGCGTCTCCACTCCTCCACATGCAGCTGCTGGGTGACCTTGGGCCAGTCACACTTCTCTGAAGTCTCTCAGCCCCACTCACCTCACAGAGTGTTTGTTGTGGGGGAGGAAGGGAAAGGAGAATGTTAGCTGCTTTGAGACTCCTTCGGGTAGTGATAAAGCAGGATATCAAATCCAAACTCCTCCTCTCTGTTCTTCTTCCTCCTCCTCCTCTTCTTCTTCTTCTTCTTCATTATTATTAAAAGGACTGGCTCAATCAAGAAAGTTTTAAACACCTGCAAGGCCTGTTGGCATATAATGTCCTTTAAGAAACACCTGAAAGTCAAAAGCTAGGATGCCTGTTCAATCTCTGCTTAAAGAGTATTCCACGGCATGGGACTGAAGTTAGCTGAGTCTCTGTTATTACTAACATCACTCCTAAAGGTGATCTGGAGTGAGCAAGCTGTAAGGGGATATTATGTGGTCCTTACAGTTTCTTGGACCCAAGTTGTTAGGGACTTGTGTAGCAACACAAGAACCTTGATCTTGAACCAGTAGCATAAAGGCAGCTAGTGCAGATGTTTCAGAAGAGGTGCAACACACTGTCAGCCATCTGCTCCCATCTGCAGTGGCATTCTGCCATACCTGTAGCTTCTGGACTTGGCTCAAGGGTGGCCTCACATCACCTAATCTACATGTTTCATAGTTTTCATAATTTGTTTTAGGCTTCTCTTGGTTTGTTATTTTGCCATGTGGCATGCCTTGTTTTTCTAGATGTGATGGTTCTGTGCCTTACACACAGTTCATGGGATGGTATAGAAAACAGAGTCCATTCAAAGCATATATGTGTACACTGCTTTATCAGTGCATTGTTTATGGCATGTCTTGCACAGAGATGCAGGCAATAACTAAGTTTTTTTTTAGAATCCCAATGACTACAATTTAAGAAATATATTTCCTATTTATGCAGACTGGACAGTCTATCCTGAAGAGTCAAAGTAGTATCAAATTGTGGTCACTTTGACATTATACATTTAAAGCACTCTTTAACAGTCATGGCTTACCCCCAAAGGCTGCTGGGAACTGTAGTTTGTTAAGGGTTGCTAGGAGAGTGGTCACAGAGCCAAAACTACTAACACTCTTAAACTACAATTCCCAGGATTATTTGGAGGACTTGTGACTGTTAAAGTGGTATAAGAGTGCTTTAAACATATAGTGTGGATGCAACAGAGTAACATTCAGTTTGGCAACTGATATCTCCCTCTACTCCACCAGATTACTTCTACCACTTTCTGGGGGAGACATATCAACAGACTGGTATGCTTTCTTAATGGTTCGTGAGTTTGGCATTTGGTGGCCTTCATAATTTGGACTTTCAGAGAGTTGACTGTATAACCAAGTTCCATTAAACTTTAGAAGGTATTTAGAAGCAGAAGCAGTGGGATTTAGAACATACATTCTAACTATCCTAAATAAATTAATGTACAGTGGTACCTCAGGTTACAGACACTTCAGGTTACAGATGCTTCAGATTACAGACTCCACTAACCCAGAAATAGTACCTCGGGTTAAAAACTTCGCTTCAGGATGAGAACAGAAATTGTGCTCTGACGGCATCGCGACAGCAGGAGGCCCCATTAGCTAAAGTGGTACCTCAGGTTAAGAACAGTTTCAGGTTAAGAATGGACCTCCAGAACGAATTAAGTTCTTAACCCGAGGTACCACTGTATATGACAAAGGCTTAAAATCAGTCTCCCTGAGACCCATCCATTTTATCCATTACATGTGTAAGATGTGAAACTAAACAGAGCTGTTTCATGAGGTGCTGGTTCTCTTAATTTTATGCACAATTCTCTCGAGACAAAATATTTTCTTTTAAGCAGAATTAGTCTCATTGAAGTGAATGGAATTGAATGGGCTTAAGTCCAAGATTTTCATCTTAACAGGATTGTGGATTGGGCTGTGTGAAGGTCAAAAGCTGCTGCACTCTCACCGGCAAGCATTTGTCTAATAAAAATTGTCACCCACTTTGCTTCTCACGCTCTGGGACAAACATGGCAGTAAGCCCGCATATAACAATGTAAGTAAAGACAGAATCTGAGTCAATGATTCTTCCTTAATTGTCAATCCTCGGTATTGAAGTACCATTTTAAAAAGGTATATTTTGCCTCAGTGCTGAGAGCTCAATAACTTCAAGTGTTCTGAATTGATATGTATTAATATTCATTAAATAGGCTTGAAAACATACCTCCCCAACACACACATTTCTGTATCTGATCAGTGGATGTCTAAAAAAAATAGAGGTAGTAAATCACAAGACTAAATAGGCAGGGAGAAGATGTGTGTACTGTTTTACAGTTTGCAAAATAGTTCAGCATGCAAAACTACTGAAAAAAATTAAAGCCTTCAGTGTGTTACAGTGATTAAAATGTTATATATGTGGTGGAAATATTCTGGTAATAATTTTGTTTGAAATACTGTATTTACTTGAATCTAATATTCACCTTTTTTGGCCAAATTACGTTGCGAAAATTAACGAGCGCATTAGAATCAATGGCACATTTACCAGCAAATACTTTTTTATTTCAAGGTTCTGAAAATTGAGGTGCGCATTAGATTTGATGGCACATTAGACTCAAGTAAATATGATAAATAGGATGAATGAATAAGTTCAATAGATTTAAAATCTGGTGAGGTGTATGAGGTGAAGAATAAGTGAATTGATGCAGTTGCTGAAATTGCTTTTATTTGTAGATATAAGTCTCACAGTCAAGAAGGTAGGCGAGGCAGTTCAATCGAGGTCTTCCGGGAACCTTTCCCCAGACAACTAATATGCAGTAGAATTCAGGTGGTAGAAGGCTGTAGTAGTGATTGAATAGGCTGCACCACAATAGCTTGTGAAGGGGAAGGGTTGCCAGCATTCTGCTATGTCAGCGTTGTGTAAGCCTACAAACATTGCTACCTGCAAACATTCTTACTAGCCTGCTGATTGTTGGCAGGAGAGGGACAAAGAGTTTGGTCCCCTTCCAGCAGCCCACCCGTTTCTGTGTTGGGTTTGGAGGAAGGGGCGTTCCTCCTTTGGCAGCCCACTACACAAAGGAGGCACATAGCACTAAATCCCTCCTCTACCAGCCCACTCCCTCGCCTGCATTCAACTTTGTATACTTGCCTGCATGCAATTCATTGTCATGTGTGGGCTACCAGGCAACTGCAGAAATCAAGATTATCTTACTTCTGTGCCAATCTCCCATTTTTATATTCTTGGCCACTGACCAATGGATACAGAATGCCTACCTAGAACTATCCAAATGATTACTAGTCCAAGTGGATCTCTAATGAGTCCTTTGTGATACTTTTTTTTAATGAGTCACATAATCCTAATCTTTGGATGGCATTATTGCAACTTGATCCACAGCTCTGCCACTTCTACCGCCAGGGTAAAAGGTGTTGGGGACAGTAAAAATGTCCCTTTGGTATGCTAGCTCCCATCCTGGCAAAGTGAAGAGGCCCAGATCAGACCCATTGCTTTTACTTGATGCCAGCAGGGCCAGTTCAGGATCCAGTGGATCCTGTGCCAGCCCAGCCCCCATTTCAGGAGTCTCCACTGCCTACCGCTAGTGGGGAAGCAGCTCGTGATAGCTTCCTCCAACCTGCCATTTGGGTGGGCACACCAGGACCTCTCCTTGCTGGCAGAGCTGCCCTGCTGACAGAGCCAGACAGAGCAGGGTAGAGACACACCTCCTCTTCATCCAATTGCTCTCCCGCATGGTGAATTGAGGTGTTGGGTTTTCTGTATTTTCAATTGACTTTGCAAACAAAAATACCAAATCCCCCCTAAAATAAGAGATAAATGGGAAAGTAGGGATGGGAACTTATTTGGTTGCATCTTAAAGTAATCCCCTTTTCTCAGTTACCCACTGTTAATATTCCCCCCCTCGTGCCAGCAATTCTGAATATTTATGGAAAGCTGAAGAGGAGGAAACCTTTGCTAGCCTGTCTTGACACCTGTATAGCATATACTGTCAACTATGATAAATGGAACAGAAATATAAACACTTGAACAGAAGCTGAAAGCTACAGAGAGAAACACAAAAGGATGAATAGTTGATATCAGAGAAAAAGCAAAACAAATGGGTCTTGGAGTAAACAAACTAGAATGACATATTGAAAACTGTGAAGTACTGAGGCTGTGGTGGCAAAGAGCCAGCAAAAGGAACAGATGGAATATGGTGCATAATTCATAACCAAATACTAATAAAATAAAATGGTGCGTCACACATATTGTTGAAGATTATGATGGATGTCAACCAGTAATCTAACAATGCTATTTATAGGTTTCTCTCTTACTCATACCTAAATTCAAATTTCTCATTTTTTATTATTCTTTAATTTCCCTTTATACATACAAAAAAATAAAATTGAGAAATGAAAGGGGAATAGGGGCTTTCAGCTCCAGATAGCAGTGCTGAAAAACTTGGCGTAGAAAGTAACTTTTTACCAGGAATGTGACCATATAGCAATAGAACTTGTAACTGTTGAAATCTCACCAAAGAAGATAGTAAGTTCTGCTTTCTATATTCACTCATCGTCAGACTGTGGGGAAGAAGAAGAGTTACATGGTCCCTTGAGATGTTGTTTGAAAACAATGCTCTTACTTTACATTTTCAAGGAATTCTTTCCACCTCAATTAGTTTTCCAGGAAACCCCTGTACATTTCCCAGGGAACCTGTGCTGTACATTTGATTCAGAAGCGTGTTCTCGAGGACAAAGTTTATGCATAGCACTGGCTAGGTCTCCTGAGCCTCACCATTGCTCCATGTAAATAGATGCTTTGGTCACAGCACTCCCCTGTGGTTCCATGTTGCTGGAGAAAATCTGCAATGGCAAACAAGCCATTCAGGGAAGCTTGTGGAGATTTATGAATTTTATCCTTGAGGAACCTCTGGCGAGTTTCTGAAGGACACCAGGAATCCCCAGAATGCACTGTGAAAACCACAATTCTAAGACACCAATGGAAAGAACTTTGGGAAATGTTGGTGATTGCTTCCATAAATTTCACTGTCAATCAATCATTAGTCCTATTCAGAAATTCAGCTACACATCAGCTAAACACATATAGGGGGACTTGGTTTTTTTGCAGGCTTCTCAGTTATGTGGTGTGCTTGCACATGTTCACTTGAATGTGCATAGCTAGCCCTTTACAGATACGTTGGTCTCAAAGCATGGTGTTTAGGGTGCAATTATATGTAGTGAACAATTTCTCAATAGGGCTCAGGTACCTTCTTAAATTGTGTTAGGAAAGAGTTCCTGCTTCCCCTTAGGAATCTTCCTTTGGACTGTGATCGTCTCTGGACTAGAATGCACATTGGTCACCAGTGATCTGATTCATTACCATAGTCTTTTGGGTACAACCCACAACAGCATAACTGGCCTGTGGGGAAGCTGGTGTGGTTACATCACATGTAAGTTTTCCCTCCTACATGATTTTAATATCTTACTGTAGCCTTTTTATTATAGTTTGGCAAAGAGCTATGGGATCGAGTCATGGGAAACAGCAACTATGCGATTATGGGAATGTATGGTATTGACATCCTTATAAATAGGTTGTTTATACCCATGGATCATGTCTACCAGATTCCCTTATGGTTCCAGTTCTTCCCATGGATATTCTTTGAAGCCCATGTTTCCCATGATACCTGCTTTACTGTGTACAAGTCAGAGAACTGGCATAAGGAGACAGAATATAACAGCTAGCATGAAGCTTGGATGTTTCTGGATCAGAACTTTTCTTGCCTTTATAAGTCCTAGTCAGTGTTATAGCTAGTGTAAGTCTCATCATAACACAGAGCTGATCTGGAGATTTCAGCTAGTGCCTGACTGGTAATCTGGTATTGCTTTTAACTTATCAGTGGAAAGATGTTAATTTTAAAGGAATTAGTTTGAAATATTCTCACAGGCACAAGTCATCAGGACTGCCTTGTAAGTGTTATTTGATTTTTTTAAAACTACAGCAAATTGGCAGGTTTAAATTCTTTTTTTCTGCATGTAGATTGAATCTGATGGAGCCCTACTCTGATGGCGCCAAAACAAAGGGGTAGGGGGGGGGGAACCAGCAATTTTGTATAAACTGTATGCCCCCCCGACATTCCTAGAGTACATAATTTAATCTGGGGTTAAGCTTTTAATAGTGGGGTCTTAATAATTCTTTCCTCTTCCTCCCTTCTTGAGGTTAGCTTCCTTTCGAGAAAATCATGCTAGATATTTTGTTTTGTTTTAAATTAGTCCCCCCCCCCCCCCCGGCCCATGACATGTGACAGTTTAAGGGTGGGTTTTTTTGTTTTTGTTTTTGGTAGGGACAGGTGTTTATGTGACAGCATTCCCCGCAGGATCTTGGGGGACTGCAGTGGAAAGTGTTGAACCGCTGAATGGTAAGGCTGTTCTTTTGTATGGCTTAGAAATCTCTGTTGTCCAGAATTGTACAGATAAGGCAAACCCATTTGCTTCATTGTCAGGCAGTTCAGCGGAATAGAAATGCAAATGTGACATAAGGGGGCTATGCTGGAGTGGGGGGGGGGAGAGTTGTGCTGCTACTTTCTCTTTAACAGGCTTCCTGGTTGTAAGAAAATTCCCATAGATACCAGGATTTATTTATTTTTTAATTAGCCACAGGTTAAAGAAAAAGCTGTCTGAAAGGAAACGTATCTCTCCCACAAGATGCCTTGATTTTTATGTGGTGCTGTTTTTAACTCCCTCATCCAGTGCAACATAAACAGCTCAGACTAAATTGGGAGCATCTTTGCACCACACTGTTGGACAAATATATTTTTGGTAAAACTGATTTGGCCCTTTCATTGTTTGCCTTTCATTATATAGCAAGCGTCAGATACAGAATTGGTATGCATTCAAACTAGAGATAGGACTGTAGCCAGGTTTTTATTATATATATTGCACAGGTCAGGCCTATTAACCACAGAATAATAGCAAGTCAGTGATCTAAGGGGGAGCTCTTCAGCTGGGATGGACTAACCTAACTGAGGTCAGGAGCTAGACCCCTGCACTTCCAAGTGTAGCTGTAGCCTGATTTGCAAGTGTGTCTACTGGGAAAAATAAACGAGCCGAGCCGTGTAAGCTAGGAAAAAAGGCAAGACGGTCTTTTCATCTTGAATCTCTGTTTTCATAGTGGCTGAAGACAAAAAATTCTGATTTGCTTTAAGTACTTGACTTCATCTAGAAACTCTTAATTCAATCACTTGTTTCGAAGGAACATGATATACAAGGAACTATTTCAATATGACTTTGAGAATTTATTTAGATAGTTACTGAAAGAGAAATCATTCTTGTTTTACTGCCGAATGTATTACTGAGGACAGACTTAATGATTTCAAAAAACAAATATGAATGGTACAAAAGGAAATGGACAATCAAGTGTTACCAAAATATTTTGTTGTCCTTTTGTTAATGCCTTGTCTGATGGCGTCATATTATATTTGCATTTTTAAAAAGCAGTCTGACCCTGAAGTCTGAAGTGTTATACAGTCACTTTGAAGATCACAGCTGATGTTCTGGTGAAATATTTCACACCATGGGTCTGGTACTGAAGAAACTTTTATTTAGCCTTAAGTTTAACAGGGAGAGCATTAAAATTAGATGTGCAGGGGAAGCACTGGTGGTGGTTCTCACATCTAATGAGATTTGTGGGGCGGGGGTCCATGGGCAGGCTTTCTTTGTAGTGGTCCCTCACCTTTGGAATGACCTACTCTCTGAGGTATCTCTCGCCATGACACTGATGTTGTTTCAGCAGCAGGCACATCTCTTTTCTCAGGATTTTGGGAAGGAGGTATAGCGGGCATTTCTGTTGCTGCAGCTACTTGTAATCTGTATTGCTTACTTAATTTGATTGCCCTTAATTTTGGTTTAGAATGCACATATTTCTGACATGGGACTTGTGGATAAAGGGTTTGTTAAAAAAGCACCTTTTCTATTAAAGCAACTTTTTCCTTTTGTTGCCAGTGAATCACATGTTTTGAGGTACTGAGTCACTCGCTAGTGTCACTGTAAGGAGAGTAGCTTCAGGAAGAGTCCAAGATTTCACAAGAAAGTTTTGTCACAGAGACTGCAGTGCTTCTGCCTTTGATTGATGTTTCTTGAAAATTGAAGGGTATCATGAATTTTTTCTTTGTTGCTTACATAAAACTTAATGTGCATTAAGAACATAAGAGCCTGCTGGATCAGGCCAATGGCCTGTCTACTTCAGCATCCTGTTGTCAAGAGTGGCCAACTAGAAGCCTGTGGGAAGTCTGCAAGCGGGACGTGAGTACAACTCATTCCATCTCAGGTCACACACACTCAACCCCCCCCCCATTGCTTCAGAATTTTTTCTCTGGAGATGCCATATTTGAAATGAATTGGTAAAGGTAAAGGGACCCCTGACCATTAGGTCCAGTTGCGGATGACTCTGGGGTTGTGGCACCCCTCTTGCTTTATTGGCTGAGGAAGCCAGCGTACAGCTTCCGGGTCATGTGGCCAGCATGACTAAGCCGCTTCTGGTAAACCAGAGCAGCACACAGAAACGCCATTTACCTTCCCGCTGGAGCGGTACCTATTTTTCTACTTGCACTTTGACGTGCTTTCGAACTGCTAGGTTGGCAGGAGCTGGGACCGAGCAATGGGAGCTCACCCCATCGTGGGGATTCGAACCCTTGACCTTCTGATCAGCAAGCCCAAGGCTCTGTAGTTTTAACCCACAGCGCCACCTGCGTCCCAGTGCCCAATTAAGTTGTACTGGAGATTATTTGTATACATTTCAAGTGGAAAAACACATATTTTCCTAACTTATATGATTATCTAATTCTGTATTTTGTATGTGTACTAAAGATCAACACTATCTCTATAGCCACTATGGCAGAAGACTAAAGACATACATTCAATAGTTGGTCTCCAGTTATGTACATGAAGAGTATTCAAGGTTGGTGCAGGGGAATTCAAACCCAATCTGATAGGTGAAAGGTGACAAACCTTAGGAGGAGCCAGTTTCAATTAATTACAGAGATATTAAGTCAAAGATAAGTGCTGCAGGTGAGGAGAGTATTGAAAGAAAGAGAGACGTTAAGACAAGACAATAGTATCTTTGACATGTAGCTACATCAGGGCTGCCCCTGCTGACAGACTGAGGCTGCTGTGCAGACAGCAGATTTGTTATAAATCTGTTTTTGTTATAAAAGGTAGGGGGAAACTGAATTTTGGAATATTGTTTACCATGGGGAAGCTACTATTTGCATTATCTGACTCAGGTGCCAAAGTATATTGGTGTGGTCCTAGGTTACATTCAGACTAGCAAGGGATACAGAGTCTCTATTTGGGGATGTGGTATCAACTGTGTAACAAGGGATCAATATTTTGGTATTAACTGTTGCATAATAATTTTCCAGTTTTACAAGATGATGTACATCTTGATGATTTCTTGCTATCAGGTGTTCATTGGGCTATTTTTAAGTTACGTTTAATTGTTTTTATTAGTAGCACAGAAATTTAGTAGCTTTTTGCATATTTTCTATTAGCTGTATAAAACTATTTCCACTAGCAGCTCCCATGTCAGAAGGAAAAAAGAAACAATTGTTTTCCAGAAGCCATTTCTTCATATTAAGAATGAGAAAAACTGGAGACTTTTTTCAAATTAGCAGGTGTATGACTTAGTCTGGTAAGAAAGGGAGTATGAGTATTTATATATTACAGAGCTAACTCTGTTGACTGGTGCTGAATAATTGTATAGGCCATAGCTGTCAACATTTCCCTTTTTTAAAGGGAAATTCTCTTATTCCGAATAGGATTCCTTGCAAGAAAAGGGAAAAGTTGACAACTATGGTATAGGCCTAACTGAATGATCAATAGAAATGAACAATAATGGAAATGTCTAGCTGCAAAAAGATCACATTTAAGAGTACAGTATACTGCCTGGGTTAGTGCAAATGTGCAGGCTACCAGGGAGGAGGTGGCTGCTTCACAACTGCCATTTCATTTTGCAGCTGCTCTGCAGCTTGCTTCCTATGTTGTCTGAACCTGGGCTTGTGGTTTAGCTCTCCCAGATGAACCATGAGCCACAAGTCTAGAAAAGAACCTTGGTTACAGCTGGATGGAAAGCATGAGACTGAGTTTGGATGACATGCTAAGTCAATGCATGGCTTAGCTCAGTGCTGCACAGCAGCACAACAGCTGTGATCTCTTGACAAGAGCCCACATGCTCTGCATTTTCACTAAGCCATAATCTATGCACTAAGCACAACTATGTGGATTGTAACAATAGTGCCATTTGTGTTCAATACAGCTGAAAAATCCTGAATTAAAATATATTATTTTCCTTTAAAAGTTCTTGTTATCATCAGGTGGTATAGTTCCTATATAAATTGCATGAATAATGTCTTCTGCTTGAAATCTATATGGTCATAACTCTGTTGGGGGTAGGGATACAATTAGGTAGAAATCCTATAAATATTTACCTGGGTGTAAGACTCACTGAAGTAAATAGAGCTTGTATCTGAGTAGGCAGGTATGCTATTACACTCAAATCCTGCAATGGCTTAGGCTGCAATCCTAACCCATTTATGGGGAAGTAAGCCCCCCTGAATTAAATAAGACTTCTGAGTAGGTATGCTTAGGATTGGACTATTAATTCCTACGTTCACGGCTTCATAAGGGTTAGGTGACTTGATTTAAAAAAATGTCAATCTTCATGCTCATGGCCAGTAATCTAAGTAGCAGATCAGGGGCTGATAGGATTAGTATAGGTTGACACAACCCAGAACAGTAAATGTAGCACTGACCTCAAATAGCTGGTACTTCTTCCTTTAGATGTTTTATTCATTAATTAGTTGCACTTAATCAAGTTATAACAAAATTCTGTTGATAAATAAAATAGTATTATATCACAAACCCATTAAAAGTATCAATCAGTAATCAGCACAACTGTAAAACTAAACCAATAATAAAAGCAAATAGCAAAACAGATTCTACCATAAGCCTAAAACAGCAAGGAATCATACTTTCTCCACCACTTCTGCTTTAATGCTCTTTTAAAAGAATTCAATAAGTTATGTCCAGTTTAGACAATAATGCTAAACAAATGTTTAGCGCTATGTGAGTGAGCCTGAACAAAGTGTTGGGCTAGCATGCTCCTCCCACATTGCGGGGAGGAAAAGTTCCGCCCTGTTTAGTTTCACTTTCACAGAATTCCAGTTTAGAGCTATGTTCTAACCAGGCATCCCAGTTTAAAACAAACTGGGTCCAATTTAATAAGTTAGCTTCACAATTCATGGTTTGAATTTGGCTTATTTCAAAACTGATCACGGTTTGCTTTAATCCAGGATTGCTGGTTCAAAGCAAAGTTTCTTTAAAAGTGAATCAAAACTAGGCAAAAGTCTTCCTCCTGGCCATGCACTAGGAGGACAGGAGCACAGAGAAACCTGATAATTTGATAGGGCTCATTGAGGCTCTTTCACATAGTTCTAAACCATAGTTTAGGGTTTTGTGCTACTATGTCCCCATATTAGCCGTGATAGCCATTTCAAGGCAGTATACAGTGGTACCTCGGTTTACGAACTTAATCCGTTCCGGAAGTCCGTTCTTAAACCAAAACCGTTCTTAAACCGAGGCGCACTTTCCCTAATGAGGCCTCCTGCTGCCGGTGCCCTTCCACCATTCAGATTCCATTCTTAGACCTAGGTAAAGTTCTCAAACTGGGATACTATTTCTGGTTTTGTGGAGTTTGTAAACCAAATTGTTCTTAAACCGGACTGTTCTTAAACCGAGATACCACTGTATTTCTGAACTTTGGGAACATACAGTGCCCTGCTTGTTGACTTCCTAGAGTGAGACCTCTGGGTATAGGATGATATAATGTATTATTATTATTATTAATATGGCTGGCTACTGCTGTAGATTGGATGGATCCTTGGCCTGATTGAGCAAAGCTCTTCTCACATTCTTGCAACACCAAATTATTTGTAGGGGGAATCTTGTTCATTGCATATTCTTCATAAATAAAAAATAGTTCTAGGGCCAGAATCATTGGGCTGGTTTGGATATAAAGTCATCTGTATAAGCAGTCTTGAGTATATGATGGAAAGATAGAGTACATTTTTATAATACTTTTTTATAATAAATACATAAAATGACCCTAATAATCTTTGGCATGTGGTGGGTCTGGAGAATGAGCTCATGTTATCCATTACAATGCACTGCAATTCTGCAATGTTAATAATTCTGGTTTCCATTGTTATTCCTCCCCCTTCAGAGGTGGAAGGATAATAGATATTGGGCAAATTACACATACATACGGTAGTTTTAGGCCAAGATATGGAAATGGGCCAAATAATACATGTCACTTGTGTGTGTATCATTCACGTCACTAACGGTGGTAAGCACACATGATCCTGAGATCTACTCGGTGTAAAATATTAATGCAGTAGTCAGTCTCTGAGCTGCTGACCCTGCCACAACAATGGATCATTGGTGTTCCAGGTTGACAAAAAAAATATCCATTGGAACTCCATCTAAACATAGATATAATAACACCTAACTTGTATTATATCTGAACGTGTTAGCTTGAAATGGAATTTTACAGAAAGCAAAATAAAGATCCTCATATTTAACATGTCATGGTGGGAGAATGAATATATATCATTTTGCCTTTACACAGTACAGGTGATTTTTCTTTTTGTCAATATTTATTGCAGCTAAATATTAAAATGTGAATATCAAGCCCTTCCTACTTTTAGGTGTTGCTCATTAATGAGTTGTTTTTGAAACATGTCTCTGATGCCAGTCAGACCATTTTTAAAGGATACTGAAGTAAGATTCTTTTCTCTAGCGAGTGGCCGATCATGCTAAGGCTGCACTATTCAGCAATTCAACACGCTCTGACTGCTTGTTAATCAGGAGACGTGAAAAGAACAAAAGAAGAAATAAGAGGTTACAAATGCTGTTTATCAGAGTTATATTTTACATTGGGATTTCAACTCATGAAATAGGATGATTGGATGACACAGGGCTTAATATTTGGAACCGGGAGTGGAAGGTGGGTGAAATTTGTTCCGGTTTGATCCCAGTGACTCTGGCTTATTGGGAAATGGGAATAGCACGTTTGTATGCAGTTAAAAACATGTTCCGTAAATCTTTTCAGTTGCCCATTCCCTGGGTGTCGCAATAGATTAAGTCACTATGTGATGATATGACACCGCCATCACTCGTCTTCCTGGGATATTGCTAGAGGCAACAACAAACCTGTGTCTTTGGCACATGTGAAGAAATTTAGCGCTTCAGGGGTTAAATTACACAGGCTCCCCCGTGGATCAGCTTATGCTTGGACAGTAATAATAGCAATAACATTAATAATATAAATGCCAGAGAAAAGTGAATAGAGGGGGAGAGAAAGGAGAGAAAGATGGGCAAAGGTATTCAGAGGGAAAACAAACCCTGGCAGGCTACAAATGATGGGCTTTGTATGGCAGGTGTAGCAGCTAGAAGTCAGATTTCATAAGGCCGCTGCAAAATGCACATATACTAACACACATTACTGTGGCTTTGGAGATGGTTAGTGTCTTTGAGTGTGTTTGTGTGCGTGCGTGCGTGTGTGTGCTGTCGCTCCAGGCCATGATATCCTAGGGCAGTGTAACAAGCAATTCGTGTCAGCTCACGGTAAAGATTATTGGTGTTTTCACTGGGGAAATATTTGCACTCCATCTTCTTTTCTATTTTTAGTGCCTGGAGCTTCCATTTAGGTAGGAAGCTGTGGAGAGAGGAGTTGAGGGAGGGAGATCTATCTGATCTTGTCCCACAATTGGTCAGAGTTACAATCCTAATCTTATTTCAGGATGGGTGTTGATGCCTGCTTGTTTTCCGAGAGACCTTTTTCGTTTTGTGGACTGGTAGCTTTTAAATATTAGTTTAGATATAGGGGAAGAAGTGAGCTATTGTTTTCTCTTCGAACGCTGTGTCTTTGAAGAATAAAAAGGTAACTCAAACAGAATAGTGTGGTGACTTATTTCTACAAGAAGCACCACACTCCTAATAAGGAGCAGCAATTTATTGTCGGGGAAGGAAAGCAATATGAATTTGTCCCCTTCAGAATTGTTGTTTATCATAATCATCTTTCTAGTGAAAAGCCTAATTTGCTCTTTCTATACGAATATTTTAAGTGTGATTATCATAATATCACAGCGGCTGAGATTGTCCAAAATGCAACACTGACCTTGAGCGTACTTCTCCATTTAGCATGTGGTGCTTTAACATTCAGGAAACAACATACCTTCAACCTGCTTATTAATGTATAATCTGAAAACGTTAACTCTTGCTCTCTGATACATGCCACACAGATTCTTGAATTCTTTCAGCATTCCATGAAACAGCATGTGGTATTTTACCAGTGTAAATATGTATACGATTTTTCAAGATTTCTACTGGGAATACTTCATAACTAAAGTAAGGTTTCCCCATGGCACTGCACTAGTTTACGATTTAATTTTTACTGACATTCCACCAGTCATATTATTAGCTTCACAAAATGAAAGTGAAATAATCCTGTATTAATTAAACAGAGTGACTGAATTCCCTCAGTCATCTTCTCCTTGGCTGCTTGAGACAGTAACACTGTGTGGTTCTCTAAGGAAACGTGCTAGAAAAAGAGTTTGATGGACTACTGAGGGGAGATATAGGTAATGCATTTTTTAACTATACTGTATTTTTTCAAGGTACTGCCTGCCCCCTGAGCATTTCAATAGAGATTTTAAGTTGGGTGTGGGGGGGGAGTAACTGTTATACCTACCTATGTACTAACATAAACAAACAGGGGCTAGCCCTGAAGAATTGTGGTTGTGGTCAGTCGGTTAGACTGCATATGTTATATTGATATATAATTATTATGACTTCTTACTGAAGAAACTTTGTGCTTCACCCGTCTGAGTTTATATAAGGAAAAGGGATGCAGTGTGCACACGTCCACACACATGCACACATGTTTGTGCTTGTATTTGAAAGCATATTTTAATACAGCTTGTCTAAAATCCAGGCAGGGTGATCATTACTTCTGCTAAATATAAGTGAAAGTGCCTGACGGTTTTAAAGTAGTAATCTACTACCATTTGCTCAAGTGTATATAAGTATGCAAAGAAATCCAGAGAGCAAGCTTGTCACTTGCTGTGTGTCTATGTGTATGTATGTCTGTTTTTTTGTTGTCTGTCTCTGTCTCTGTCTCTGTCTCTGTCTCTCTCTCTCTATCCCTCTCTCTCTCACACACACACACACACAGAGAGAGAGAGAGAGAGAGAGAGAGAGAGGGCAGGGGGATTATATTGTATCCAGGGATGTGCTATACTGTACTTCCTGAGGAAGAGTCGGAAAGACAAATTGCAAAACAGTTTTTAACACTTCAGTGCTAATTACTTTTAGCTGAAATCAGCAACATTTGCTTCGAATAAGTGAATGCAGGATTGGTTTTTGTAAAATGAAGAAACTATGGTGCAAAGACTTCCAAGACAGGAGTATAGCCCGCAAAGGGCCTGTTACACAGAACCACTATTTAATATTTAGCATTTCCTGACATTTTTCTATCTAATTTGAAAAGCTAAATATGTCTATTTTCAATCTATTCAGAAAGCTAGATATAGCAAACCTGTTACTCTGATTGGTTCATGATCAATTTCAGAAATCCAGGATGAACATGTAACTACCTTTAATTCAAATTTAATTGAAAGAATGATGAAATTTGTTGGTGTGGAAACAGTGTATATGGAAGTATGGGGGTATATAATGCCCTTTATATAACTTAGGGTTCAAAGCAATAATAGTAACATGCATGGCAGACACATTTCCTCCCCATATTTTTTCTCTCCAGTGTTCATTTTGAGTAAATATGTGCTTGGCACAATTAACTATGCTGCTTCTGCAAAGTGCCACTGAGTCTTTACTTCAGTAGCCTTGAGGTAGCTGTGGTTTAGGAGTCGGGCAATTTGGATGCAATGAGATGTCTGTAGCACTTAAGTGTGAAGGCGCTTAAAGATGTACAGTACTCTTCATGGGAATAATTATACACACAGAGGGGATGTGAAGATGTAGACAGTGCTCAGCAGTGCTCATTGACTGGTGCAGATACTCATGACAGCTTCTCTCACCCTCCTAGCCTTGATTCCATTACTATTGCTTTTGTGGATTCCTTGAGGTAAGATTTTTACACTAGAGCATTTGATTTAGCATGTGCATATATGTGTAAAGCAGAGAGAGGGAGAGAGAGGAGCACACTCCTGATTTTGATTTTCTGTGATTTAGACATTATGTAATAAGCATTTGCTGTGATTATATTTTCACGTGCAATTAGAAAGCATCTTTAATAAAACAAGCGTTTTTAGAGTGTGCTATAGTATCTGGTAAGTTGCCTAATTTATTTCTTCATTTTATTAGAATAACTGAACTGTAAACTGGTGTGCCCAAGTTCAAGAATGCAGTTGAAATTCCAGGCCCAGGTCTAGTCGAGGTGACATTTTGAATCCCAGGGGAGAAGGCCAACTGCCTTTCATGAATGCATAAATTATAATGCTACGGCTGTAGTCTTCTAAGCAGCAGCACCATCAGCAAAGACAGATGCTTGCAAGGTGTCTGGTGGAAAGATAGCAATAGTTAATTTGGTGATGCGGAGGGGAAGCGCAAGATGACATGGGCATGAAAAAGGATAGCGGAAACTATGTGGACATGAAAAGCTTAGCAGATGGAAAAGTACAGCACAAAAGAAAACAGTAGCCCAAATAAAATATGAAGTATTTTTTTTTATTCCCTAATGATGATTTAATGAACATGATGCCATATTCCAGCAAATAATTTTTGCTTATGAACAGAGCTTTGCAGACTAAGATCTATATGACGCTTGAACAAAGCTGCACATTCAACATGACTTTCAAACTCTTGTGCCAGAACAGCGATTGAAATTTTATCTGAATTAAAAGAGTGGATATCCATGTGTATAGGAATGTGTTTCGATATTGATTACATATAAATTATACAGAATCAAAAGAAATCTGCTACAAACAAGTCATTTATTCTACTAAAATATTTTTAGGAAGGTGTGTTGCACTCAAATTTCACCTATTATTTTTTGCTTGTTTAGTGAAATCTGTGAAGTGATTGGGTAGGATGCATCCCAGAGTATTTTTAATTCACTGCTCAGATCCAAAATTTACATCTTAATTAGAGTCTACATTTAGCAACATAGGCAGCATAATGTTACTGTTAATTATGTTTTTACTATCTGCTTTTCTGTAGTGGTGAGACCTCCAATTATGCTGTGTGGATTCTTGATTCCTAAGTGTGTGTGTCCCCATATGTATCGGAAAGCAGATTTTCAACTCTACATGGGATAAATATATTATATACTGTTAAGTTGCTCAGCAAAACAAAGGGATGCAAATATTTCCATTGCACTTACATATATGTCTTCTTCTGTCATCTTACTTTGGCAAAAGCCGTCAAATAGATTTGGAGACAGCTGTTGTACTCTCATTTGTGAAAGGCATTAATGCATTCTGAGGGTGTGCACTGATTTGTTTTGATCTAAAAGATTATGCCATTTGCATCACAGAGTGCTTCAGTCAAAAAAAAGTGCCAAGCAATACAGCTGAATTTGTATTTAAAAAAAAGTATTTTCTATTATTGTAACAATTGTTTCATCACGATATATTGGAATTATTTTATTCAGCAGGTAGATGGAATCAATTCTTGCTCTGAAAACAGATCATAAATATGACATTTATGCCACATAAATTGACGAAGACTATTAGGACAAACTTGTGCTCTTGTTTAATTTTGGGGGTACTTGTAAAACGGTATTTTGATTAACAATATCTGGAATTTTGTGTCCATTTATTTGCATTAAATGGGTTTGTCTGGTCAGGAGCTTTGATGTGCTATAGCTAAGGGTAGTGAATTGGGGGTTGGATAATTTTGTCAGTACAGATGTGAATAATGCAATGCATTTGCTTCCACATTGAAAATATTCTTGAAGTTTTTGTGCAAGTTTGTACATAGGTAGCTGAGGCACAAATAGTTATCAGACCATTACATTTTAGCTGGCACAGCTGGATATAGTGCATGTTTTTCCCCAGAACTGAATCTGCTGACTTCAATGAGACATATGACCAAGTTACTGCATATAGGTATGGAGCCTTAGCTCTGCTGAAGAGCCTAATCTGCATTATTTGAAAGTAAGTTTCCTTGAAATCAATAAGACTTAAATTCAAGTAAAGACAGTTAATACTTATCAAAAGATATTGATCAATAACATACCTCTTATTATTTCACGGAGATGGCAAAACATATATTCTCCACAACTGCATGGTCTAGTTTCTGTGCAAGTTATGCATTCAGTTCTCTTCAGTTGAACCCTGTCACTTTTTCACAGTGATGAAAATACAAACACTGCTAATCTTACTTGTTTTACAAAAGTCAACAATGCAGAATGATAGCATACAGACCCCTTAACTCAGAGTTTAGAAATGTAGAATAGAATTTAGGTGAATCATATGAAGGGGGAGAAATTAACAGTTCAATTCCAGCCATGTTTATTCATAAGTAAACATGTTTAGGATTTCAGATGACATACAAATCCCTCAACATGTTTACTCGGCAGTAAACCCCAGCAAGTCAACTGAAACTCATTTCAGAGTATGCATTCATGTAGCCAGTCCATGTTTACTCAGAAGTCAGTCCCACGAAGTTACCTGGGAGCTTTCTTCCTGCAAAGGAAGCGCGCTGTAAGGCTGCAATCCTATACACGCTGACGTGGAGCTGGGAAGCAAACAAACCCTGTGCAACTCCGGAGCGGCTGCCTTCCGAGTAAGCATGCATAGGATGGGGCAGCGAGAAGCGCTGCTAATCGGTCACGACGCGAGATCGCAAAACAAAACAGAAAACACGGACAGCCAACAATGCAATGGAGAAAAGAAAAGAGAACGGCAGCGCGAAACTTAATACCTTCTGATGAAATCTTCCCCAAAGGAACTGAGGCTTGCAACTCCTTCCTGCCAAACTGTCTTTTAAGAAGCAGAAAGCGTTTGGTCACCCTAAGGAGTTAAAGCTAGAGTTAAGACACAGCCGCGCTTTGGAAGCCCCTTTGAAAACGTTGCATCGTTTATATCTGCGCGTTCTCACTTGTCGGTTATTATTATTTCTTCTCCCTCTGCCTCCCCCCGCCCTCCCTTTCCCCAGTCCCTCCGCCCGTCTCTACCTGCCGAGCTCCGCTCAATCTGTGCAGCCTCTGCTCTCGCCGGCGCTGATTGGCTGACGCCCTACCAATCCGGCCTCTGTCTGGGCCAGTGGGACTGCATATGTAAAGCCCTACTTCATATTTATAAGCTCCAATCGGGGCTTTAAGTCCTTGATTAGGAGAGTGTGAGAGCTTTTGGTCCCAACTGGCTGTGCCTATAGGCTTGTCACCAGGAGAACATTTGTGTTAATTGCACTGTGCTGTGTCAAGGAAACTTTGATTTATAGCTGGGGTGCACAAATAATGGTTGCCGAGCGCACATGGATTCGGTAGAACTTTGCCTTCCTGAATCTTTTTCCTTGCACTACGAAGAAGAGTAGGTACCTTTCTTCTTATTTCCCCCTTCCTTTCCTCTTTTTTATGTTATTAAAAAATAATAATAATAACCCTCTTCCCACTTTTATTCCCCCCCAGAACCGGGGCGTGGGGAGAGAATAATAATAGCAATAGTATTAGAGCGCTGAATGCTAGCGTTGTTTCAGGTAATGCTTTCCGGGTTCTGTGTGCATGATTGGGGCTGCTTGTGTCTTGCGTCTTTTGTGCCCGGCTTTATCTGCTAATTCAGTAAGTGGGAGAATTGTTCTCTCTCTCTCTCCAATGTTACCTTTTGAGTCGCAACGCAAGCGGTGCGACTGTCACAGAAGGGGGGGGTGAGGGAAGCACTCCCCCCTCCCAAAACAGCTGTGTGAGTGACAGTCACTTCTTATTCAGGTACTAAGAATAGGCACTTGGCACAAATGCAGAGTGAATTGTCTAAATAGACATTTCAGAAAGACACATGTATTCCCCCCCCTTTCCCCCTTCCCCAACAGAGTTTAAGAAGGACGTATTCTGAGAACAGGATTTAAATATCTAGGACCTTTTCAGTTAGATATTTTGATCTTTCTGGTGTTTATAGCTATGCATAGTTAGGAGGGGGAACCAGCCCAACTGTTTAATCCCACTTTAAGGATAGTGCTCTGTAATTAAGTAGAACGTAACGTTCCAGTCATTTAGTGACAAATCGGTCTATTAGAGAGCAAGGGAAGGGTGTGTGCATGTGGCACTTCCTGAGCCGGTTTTTTTTTTCAGTTGGAATATAGGGTTTGTGTTTTTTTTAAAAAAATATTAATCATTTCTGCAATTGGTACTATTAATTTATTACACACAATAAAGTACTGTAGATGCTTTGTGTATTCAGTACATCTAACATACCTCTTAAAGGCACATAGTTTAATGCATGTTTTCTCAGCTCTTATCGGAGAGCAGAGCAAAGAGTGGGGAGATTCCAAATGCAAATTTGACAGCCTAGAACTTGGAGAGCTTGTAAACTTAATTCCGGGCTAAATAACTACGCACTGTGGAAGCTGTCAGTTGACTCAGCCCTGGACAGAATGCATAGTGTGGCTGTACTAGGAAGTGACAGTGTGTTGTGGGTACATGCCCACTAGCTCTCCATAGTGTCTGCATATTATTTTGGTGAGTTGCAATTAAGTCAGAGTTGTGTGGGTTTCTTAAAGTGCTTTGGACGTTCAGAAATAATATAGACAATAAAAGAGCTTGCCAATCGGAAACTGGTATGGTGTACGTGCGGGTGGTAAGAGGCAGGATTCCTCGTTCACCTGCAGAAGAAGGTAAATAAACAGTAGTAGCATGCTCACTGAGATACGGTTTATAGATCAGTACTCAGTAAGTTGATGTACAGTGTGGTCTAAAATGTCTTAATCTGTGCATAAGTGCAGTTGTCACTGTTCCAAGTTGAGATGGGTGGTTTTCTTTGGTGGGGGAAGTAGGAGGAGGAGAGATTCTAAAGTTAGGACGATGTTCTTTTTTTAAGGAGCTTTCTTGAATTTACCTTCTTAGAGCTAATTTGAATGATTAGTTTTGATAAGCCGCTTAAAGTAGATGCATTTAAATGAAATTGGGGCACGTGTCTTTTTGGCTCTGGTGGAAGATTCAAACTATTCTCTCTCCCCACCACAATTAGCACTCTTCTCTCCTCCCCCCCCCCGCCTCTGTTAAAAGTCTTCCAGATGCAAGGCTAGGTGGATCTGTGGTTTCGTGGGCAGGCAGAACTCTAATGCACTGCAACACATCTGTCTCTATGTCTCAATTAATAGACCACACCGCCTTACTTGCTATTAATATTGCCAGTAATTGTATTTTTGTTTTGTGGCATATAATGCACACCAAACTACAAAGGCAGCTCAGAGATTAAATAAAAGTAGTGGACTACTTCTAGAGCTTGCACTTTATTTAGTGTGTATTGTGGTGGTGGGGAGGGAAGCCAGGCTAAAAACTGACAGAACATTTGGGGAGCACATAGACATCTGCCTTACTGACATTAGGTATGCTTTGATATCTGGCTAGCGCATGTTAAAGAATGCAAAAACTTAAAGCCAGCTGCAAACCTTGCTTTTGCCTTTTCAGCAAAACCAGTAATACTAATAATTTCAAATAGCAGTTAATAATGGAACAGATGCAACAAATATAGTTGCCGATTTACGCATGTGTTTGTCACTTTAATTGTTCTAAATGAAACGGTGTGCTCATAATGCAAAATCTCAAACCTCTGATTAAAATGTAACATTGACTAAAGGATTAAAGAGCGGACTTAATTTTACTGACTGTTTTAACAGTTGTCACAGCTGTTGGAAGAAGGAAAGGCAATTGAAACACTCCAAAAAAGGGGAGGGGGAGGAACTAGCTTAGTAAATTTAAACATGATCTCTGAATGCCAGGCATAGAGAGGCAAATAGATTTGTTACTTCAGATGTCTTCTCTGAGCTGTGTACGTTTACCTCTGTAGCTCTGTCTGTTTCATGAATTTGAACCCTCGACCTCTTCCACACTTCCTCCATTAAAATACAACAGTACTGAAATGAGGCACAGCTAAAGTGAATGTCACAGTGTACATTATTTTAGAAAGCAACTTGTTTTGTAGTAAATGTGATATGCCAAGAACTGAAACTTAGGATGGATGGCTAAAATTTTAATAGTGAACACTGATGTCAGAATTGGGAGACCAAAGATACTTGAGTGCTTTGAAAGATTGTTTACAGATTTCACTGTCAAAAACAGCATAAATTTGAGAGCTACTTTGCTGGAGTCTTCATTTTCTTCTTTGACAATATCACGTATTTAAATGTGTGTTAGTTCCTCCCTCCTTTTATTGCATAGCTCTTATTTCCAGTAAAATTTGATCTGGAAAATCTATGCAATATTTGCTGTGGGGGAGGGGTAGCTGATAATTAATAAGAAGAAAGTTAATGCTCCTTATTATGACTGCAAAGGTAGACTTCTTGAGGTGAGGGCTGCCTATATCATGGATGTGATAAATCTCCTATATAAATAAGAACACATCATCTGTGGGTAAGAACACTATATGTGTATGCGTATTAATATAATAGGGCGGTATGTATGGGGAAGAAACCTAAAGAACACTGTCCCCTAAATTCAAATACAACAAGGTGTAAGCATGCCTACTGATTAAATGAGAATGAGTGTATGGCTTTTCCTATTCAGTTCTTACACGTCTACCCAAATGGGCCTTATCATACACTCCCTTACTATATTTTCCAAGTTTGGATTTCTGTTGTTCATATGCCTTTTCTGCAAGTTTTTACAGCTGTCATAGAGTGCAAAGAGCTGGTGCTGAAATGGCTGTCTGACAGCTTTTTATTTGCTGGGCCTGACCTCCCCCCCCTTTTTTTTGAGTAGTGGTTGCTCCTTTTAATGTGTTTATGGTTCTACTCTTTTATTTACTGAGCCTGGTGTGTTGCAGCAGTAATTAACCTGTGTTATTAGCAAAGCCCTTGTGAATATCCATTAATTCTCTTGAATGGATGATGATTCCCCCCCACTGTTATTTCCCCCCCTCACTTTCTCCCCAAAGGTTTGCTGTCCCATTTTAAAGCAATTCTTACCTTAAGACTTTTTTTTGTAGATATACTTTGGAAATAATTTATATTATGGGGCATAACTAATACTCTTGATTAGTTGTTTTAAATACACTTAAGAAGTGTGAAGATGGATGGATCTCATCACATTATTCTTTTCTTCTCCTGATAACAACAGAAGCAAACCTATGTTGTTGTTTTTTGGCGAAGCATGATGGTTCAGGAGATGACTTCTGTGGGTTTTATCTGATTTGAAGTTACCTTGGGTATCACTTTGGGAATTTAAAGAAAGGAAAAACATATTAAGCCTGCGGGGGGGGGGGGAGGGATACTTCCGCTTGGACTGCTGAGGAAAGATAAGGACCGCCTCATTAGCCAAGCCCTACTTTTGCAATTAATTTCAGAATGCATGGCACTATACATCAAACACAGAAGGTAACTTGTATGTGATTGTTTTTAGACAATTCCTGAAACCCCTTCCCATTTTAAGGCAGAGGCTAGTATTTTATGCAGTCTTAGGTTAATAACATAATGCTATATTCTATTTTCTTTCTTTTTTATTAGCAGTGTGGTTAAATAGTCTGGCAAACTTCCTGGTATTGAACATTTCTGATGCACAGTGACCTTTGGCTTTGGTATCGCTGCAAAAGCGTATAGAAATGAACACCAATATTTATTGACACTCTTCAAAGCAATGGCCCTTTATGAATATTCTTGTTATCCTATTATCAGTCAGTGAAAATGCTGAATGTAAGAAATATGGGATAAATATGGGGTAAATAAGAAATATGGGAGAGCATCTCTCTAGAAGTTTAAAGCAACTCTTTATATTACGTATGCCTTGGTCTCTGCTTCATAACACATTCATTGGGGACAGAAACAATAAACGTTGATATCTACCTAGTGCCTCTCTAGCCCTAGCAAACTCTCAGGAGGAAATCTGTGATTATGCTGGGCTGGTTTGGTTTTTATCTCTTTTACATCCA